AAATCATAACAAACGGCAACAAGTGCACGACATCACCCTTCGTGCTTTTATCGTCTCTCACCAAAACAATACACGGCATCACCCTTCGTGCTTTAACACGCTATCACCAAAATAATGCACGGCATCACCCTTCGTGCTTTACGCTCTTCCTCACCCAAACAACAATCACAAGGCAAATAGGTAAGGGAATCTATAACATCGAAATAAAATCAAGTAATAACAAAAAATTAGTAAACAAAAGTAAAGGACAACATAACTCAATTATCAGCAAGAATCAGGAAAATCAAAGACAAGTGCACGGCATCACCCTTCGTGCTTTTACTCTCGTCCTCACCATAAGAATCAATATAAATTACACGGAATCACCCTTCGTGCTTTTACTCTCATCCTCACCATGAAATCAATATAATAGGCACGGAATGGTACATCGTGCGGCACGGCATCACCCTTCGTGCTTTACACTCTTTCCTCACAAAACAAACAATGCACGACATCACCCTTCGTGCTTTAACTCTCTTCCTTACCCAAACAACAATCACAAACAATAGGGCAAGGAAATAAAGGAAATTTGCAATAAGAATCCCGGCAAGGGAGCAATAAGTCAACAATTAAATCCCGGCAAGGGAAAAACATCAATAGCATCAACATCCCGGCAAGGGAGATAGCAAATACATCAACAATAGCCCGACAAGGGTGACAACATAATGATCTCTTCTCTTTCTCACTTTTACTTCACAATTCACTTCACAACTCGAGCCAATGCTCTAGAGGTTCAATTATCACTTATACTTTCACAATTTGTTATACAACTTTAGCCAACGCTCCTCAATGTTCATAGGTCACAATTATTTCCACAAACTTTATACAACAATTAGAAATCTTCACCAAGGCATGAATAATACAACGAAATCATGAAAATCATAATATAAGACTCACGGTCATACTTGACACCAACGTATAGATACTCGTCACCATGCCTATACGTCGTACTCAACAATTATCACATAGCAAATAGGACTCAACTCCTAATCCCTCAAGCTAAGGTTAGACCAAACACTTACCTCGATGCCTTGAACACAACTCAAGTCTCAATTATAGGTTTACCCCTTGTTTCCACCGCCAATTCGCTCGTGTCTAATCACAAATTACTTAATTACATCAATAAGTGCTAAATGAATCAACCCCAATGCATGAAAATGAGTTTTCCAAAGTTTTACCCAAAAAGTCAAAAATCGCCCCCGGGCCCACGTGGTCAAAACCCGAGGCTCGAACCAAAACCCGATTACCCATTCACCCACGAACTCAAATATATAATTTGTTTTTAAATCGGACCTCAAATTGAGGTCCAAATCCCCAATTTTTGAAAAACCTAGGTTCTACCCAAAACACCCAATTTCCCCCATGAAAATCTTTGATTTTAGGTTGAAATCATGTTAAACGATGTTAATGATTGAAAAAAATGAGTAAAAACTAACTTACAATTGATTTGGAAGAAGACTTGTTCTTGGAAAATCGCTTAAGTGTGTTTGGGTTTGAGAAAATATGAAAAATGGGGTTCAAAATCGTTTAAGTGTAAAATTGCAGGTCTCTGATATGGGAAATGCGAACAGGGGTTCGCAATTGCGAACCCCGACCTCTCAGATGTGGGAAATGCGAAACAGGGTTCGCATTTGCGAACCCTTCTGAAATTCCCAATTTTCGCATTTGCGAACCAATTGGTCGCATTTGTGATCAAGCCTGCCCAAGTCCCTTCTTCGCAATTGCGATGCATGGCTCGCATTTGCGAGGCTGGCTTCGCAAATGCGAAGCCTGCAGATCAGAGACACACCAGCTAATTTTTAAGTTCAAAATGCACCCCGTGGCTTATCCAAAACTCACCCGAGCTGTCGGGGCTCCAAACCAAGTATACACACAACCTCAAAAATATCCTACAGACTGATTCGTGCGATCAAATCGCCAAACTAACATCATAAACATCGAATTAAACCTCAAAATCCAAGAATTCTTTCAAACTTCATAAAACATCAAATTTTCCAATTTAGGTCCGAATCACGTCAAACGACGTCCGTTTTCAACCAAATTTCACAGGAATGACTTAAACCATATATAAGACCTGTACCGTGCGCTGGAACCAAAATACGGGCCCAATACCAACACGTTCTAATAAATTTTCATTTCAAATTTCCTTAACCAATTTCAGAAAATAATTTTTCAAAACAATTCATTTCTCGGGCTTGGGACCTCGGAATTCGATTCCGGGCATACGCCCAAGTCCCATATTTCCTACGGACCCTCCGGGACCGTCAAATTACGGGTCCGTTTACCCAAAACGTTGGCCACGGTCAAATTTATTCATTTTAACATCAAAACTTTAGCATTTTTTACAGAATTTCATATTTAAGCTTCGGCTACGCACCCGGACTGCGCACGCGAATCGAGGCGACTCTAAATGAGATTTTCAAGGCCTCGGAGACACAGAATTCAATTAAAAACAGGTGATGACCCTTAGGGTCGTCACATTTAATTGGTAGTGTTTTTCAACCTATACATCCTATTTGGTTGAATTCTATATAAAACTAATACATAGCAAACAATGACATTAATAATACCATGAAGTTTAATACATGGATAATCATGTATATACCATTATGCAATGCATGTTATTTTTAATACACCAAATCAAATAATGGATAAGAAATAATCCCAATATAACTAATTCTAACATTACTAATTCCAATATTATTATTTTTATACACCGTCCCAAACGACCCTTTAATGCGACATCACATAATAATAATAATTCTGAAGAAGCCAAAAAATGACAGTAAAATAGTAAAAAAGAAAATGGAAGGAAATTGAACATAGATATACTTCAGATTGCGAGGTCAGATGTGACAAAAGAAAGATACTGATTTGACATTTAATTCTCATTTGATGTCATTTTACTAATCAATTCATAGATTTTTACCTGCTTTTAAACCATGAGAAGCATCTTTCTTAGATTCTGTGTAGTGGATTTACCTCTTTCTTTCATTTTCCTTTGTGTTTTTGGAGATTTTACTGTCCCAAATTTACCCATCTAAAGTAAAATTTTATCAGTTAGAGGAAAATTGCGTCGAGGACCAACACTTCACTGCTATAAGATTTTCTTACAATGCTAGAATTAGAACTACTATATAAAAGTTCTTAAATTAGACGTAATACTTACGTAGAGCTCAGTATTTACAGTTAACTATAAACATCATTTAATTTATAACATAGGCAGTGTAAAGATTTAATTATAACCACGTGAATTGTTTGCAATGTGATTCTGGGGCTAAGGGATACAACTTAAGACTCGAGATGCAACTTACGGCAGTCTTTGATCGTCTGCAATGAATTAAAACAAGAGCTATATATACCAACAAGAATTATGGTGTGATGGACAAATTATTTTCACCCTTAATTAAAGATCACGTGTAGCATGCGAATGAAAAATAAGGAGTACTTTCACCTTTAATAGATCTTACGCAACACGAATCTGAATTAGTCGGGACCCAATATAAGTACTTGATACCGAGCATCATAGATAGAGTGAAAAATCCAAAAAGAAAAAACAAACAAGAAGCTACATTTTTTCAAATTCCTATGATGACCAATTAACACCCTGGGTAGAAAAATAAAAACTCGCGATATATTAAAATACCAAATTGTGATAAATGTTTTCGATTTGTCCAAATAATAGTTGAAATGTCATCGTCTTCGATTTATACATACACAATTTGAACATGCAAAGCAATATTCTCCTCAAAGAAAACCAGAAATATATAGTGTAGAGCCTTATTTTTGGAAATATTTATTCTCTCCAAACCATCCCCCAAAACAAGTTAAAGAGGAGAATATTAGCAACTATTTGTCTTAAGCATATACTTGCTGCCTTCTACATGGAGTCCACTATATATTTTGACTTTCTCATCTAATAAAATCTTACTCCCTCCGTCACAATTTGTTTGGGTTCGAATTTCAAGAATCGAACGAGTTTTTCTTTAATGACGATTTTTTCATGTACCTTTTAAATATTCTAAATTGTTAAAAATTGTGACATATAGTACTTTTTATGTAGTTCTCAAATATATAAATTTTGTTTCAAATTTTTTAAATATTCTATGTCTGAATTTACGGTCAAAATTAAGAAGTTTGACTCTCGAAATTCGAGTTTCGCCACATAAAGGGTGTAATTAGTTAAGGATGAAATACATTGATAGTTAAGATTTTCTTACACCATCAACTGTAACATATATAACGTATTAGTTATCATTTTGTAACAGCCCAACCCGCTAGTGATATTGTCTGCTTTGGGACTAGGTCCTCACGGGTTTAAAACGCGTCACTAGAGTCTAAGGCTTGTTAACTTATATACCCAACATCCCTCTTGTGTTTTGTCGCTGTGGGACTCTGTCTAAAGTCTAGGGTGTTACATACACCCCCTCTAATGGACTCAGCGTCCTCGCTGAGGTTTGCCCCGCCTAACCAAGATTTGTCTAAACTCAGTTGAACTCTAACCCACCATCGCCATGGCTGACACAAGCGGGCTGGGCTGTTATACATTTCTATCTAGTTTCAATTTAATGTTTAGTATAGAGATTAATTGCTTGTAATTAATTTACAAAGTAATTTAATATAATTATGTAAATATATTTTACAGTATCAATGCATAAACTTTAAATTCAGTGCATAGTATTTTACAAGTGTCAATATCAATGCTTAGAATTTAAATACATGTTTAAGACAAAGAGCTGCTAATTTGTACAGAGAATTTAAATTATTTATTTATGTAGAGAAAATTAAAGCAACGTAGGGCAAGTAAGTGAAGTTGAAAAAAGAGCAAAACCCTATACTATTTTTGGTCTACAAACCTGCAAATAAGAAACAGACCACAACATCACGTCTGGTTTATAACTAGAAAATTTTGCTTTCAATGTCATTTTCTTTGCCAGCTATTCTCTCTTAATCTCATTTCCTTTCACATTTTGAAGTCATATCTAAGTTAAGCTAAGACTATATACAAAGATATTTAGTAATGAATTTCTTTTCTCATTCTTATGGTGTTTAAAAAGAAGGATCAAAACTAGCTTTAGTTTTTGGAATTCGTGTGACTTTCGGAAAAGGTTTTGAAATTCGCCGGAAAATAGAAATATTTTCCATTGAAGATATTCAGGTCTGTTTATGTTTTTCTTAGCATATGTTCTCATCTTTCCAATGAAAAACAACATAAATTATATTATAGAAAATGAAAAAACTATATTTTTATAGTAGTTTCTTTTTTTTTTCCCTTTGTTTGTCCCTTTTAATTTCCTTGCATTTTTAGCACTTTTGTCAATCTTTAGATCTGTTGCTATATTTCCAGAAATTGTTGAGTTTTCTTATATGAAAGCTCAAACATTTTTATTTCTTTTGGTTTGCATACTTTTAAAGTTTCTCCCACTTGTAGGAGTTTTGCTTGGCGAAAACCATTCACCTTTATCTTCTTAATAAATTTTGTATTGCATAGAAAGTTTCCAAAAAAAATTCTTCTCTTGTCTTACCATATCTTTGCACAAGATTAATAGCTATATGCAATTGCATGTAGTCACGTTTTATGTTGCTCGGACTCTCCGAAAATGTCATGTGGTGTGTGTCAAATCATTCAAAAGTAGTATATTTTGGAGGATCTAACACCGGTGTGACAGTATTTTGGATAATCCATGCAATATAAGTCACATTTGATGTGTTTAGAGAAATAAAATGGAGAGAAACCCTACTTTTGTTCTTCTAATTGGATCTTGTACAAGGATATTTCTTTGTCATCATTTTGGATGGTAGTAATTATTATTACATTGAAAATGGAGGTATTTTTTATTTTATTTTTATAGTCACGTTTTATGTTGTTCGGGCTCTCCGAAAATATCGCTACGTGTGTCGAATCATTCAAAAGTAGTATATTTTTGGAGGATCTGAGACTGATAAAATAGCATTTTGGAGAGTCTGAGCAACATAGGTCATGTGTTTAGAGAAATAAAATGGAGAGAAACCCTACTTTTGTACGTTCTTCTAATTGGATCTTGTACAAGGATATTTCTTTGTCATCATTTTGGATGGTAGTATTTATTATTACATCGAGAATGGAGGTATTTTATTTTTATTTTTATATGTTAGTTGAGTCTATGTTAGCAATGAATACTATATTAATTTCCTCTTTTTTGCTTTAATTTCCTCTTCATTTTCCATGCATATTATAAGTCTCAAAAATGTTGTTATTAATTTTGTATAGGATGGGGAGAGGAAAGATAGAGATAAAGAGGATTGAGAACAACACAAACAGGCAAGTGACATTTTGCAAAAGAAGAAATGGACTGCTGAAGAAAGCTTACGAACTCTCAGTTCTCTGTGATGCTGAGATTGCTCTCATTGTTTTCTCCACTCGTGGCCGTGTCTATGAATACTCTAACACCAAGTAAATTTTCTACATCTGTTTTTCTATTCTTGATCTTTTTATATATTCATCTCATGCTTAATTTTCTAGATTTGTCATCTAATGGTTGTGATTTTCATTATCTTCTTTTCATAAATCCTCTTGCTGATTTCTCTCCTACTTTATCTGACAGAATTTGGAGTGTGTGAGTCAGACATAGAGATGATAAATGAGCGGTTTAGACCGAACTTGGGTGGCTCAAACTATCTAATTTTTGGTCTGAATTTGGACATAGAATTATCTTCAAGCTTTTCGAAATAAAATTTACATATTAAGAAACTATCTAAAAATTAAAATAAGTCACACTAACTAATAAATCAATACTATATTTAAAAGACGTGTGAGAAAATCGAGATAAAAAAAACTCCTTTTAACTCTTCGAATAATAACCTTGTCATATAAATCACTACTAAAAAACAAGTAGCGACGAACTAGTTACAGTAACTAGCAAAAAAATCGGTCACTAAATAGGGTTAGCAACAAATATTCAAAAAGATTTGTTACTTACGAGCAATTTAGCGACAAATTAGAGACAAAGTTCATAGTTGATTCCATTTTTTTTTTTTTACTGAAGAGTGAGAGAGAGAGAGAGTCATAGTACGTTTGTGTATGTTCCTAGCTACCAGAAACCTAGACAATAAAGCATGGTAGAAGGATATATACACTGATTCCAAGGAATTATTGGATTCATAATACTTTCATAAAATTATAATCGTAGTTAGTACTAAAACAAAGAAATTACAAGAAAATCTTTGTACAACAATGAAGTGTTTATGTGTTGTTGATGATGAATTACTCAAGAGAATGGTATAAGCTGTAACTTTTGAGCGGTAATTCCTCCAAAATACTTCAGGTTAAAGGAGCTTGTAAATTTATAATTTTCAGAATTAAACATCCTCATTATTGTTGGTAGAATTAAATTCGTAATAGTAGTATTGGCACGCAGTCTCGCTTTCTGTTGGTAGTAGGTTTTTATGACTAACGGTTGTTTTCTTTCATTGTTGATCACCTTACTATCTTGTTATTTTTATTCTGCTTTTATATGGCTTTTTGGTACTGTCATTTCTTGTCTATATCTTCATTAATGTGGTGCTTATGCTTTCCTGAGCCGAGGGTCTATTGGAGACAGTCTATCTATCCTCACAAGGTAGGGGTAAGGTCTGTGTACACAATACCCTCCCAAGACCCACAGTGCGGGATAATATTGTAAAAATAGCACGGGTTAGCCAGTTTTCGGACTGGTCATTCAAAAATAGCCAACGTTTGCAAAGTCATTAAAAAATAGCCACTATTTTGCTGCAACACGAAAATTTCCAGCATAATATACTGCAGATCGGTGCATCTGTGTATGAACTTCCAGTATATTATGCTGGAACTCCAACACGCGGAAAGTTCCAATATAATATACTGGAGAGTGAAGCACTGGTGCTCCAATCTCCAGTATATTATGCTGGACCGGTATATTATACTGGAGTATTTTTTCGGATTTTGAACAGTATTTTTGTTCAGATTTATCTTTACATGAAAAGTGGCTAAATTTCGATTACTTTTGAAATTGTGGCTATTTTTGAATGACCACTTGTAAATCTGGCTAGTTTTGAATTTCTCGCGTAGTGAGTATGTTGTTGTTGTTGTAAACATGCTCATTATGGAATTATTCCTCTGCATATATAATTTCTAAGTTGCAAGCTTATTAAATAAAAGAAAAGGTTGGACAATTTGTAGAATCAGGTCAATTGATTTTCCTTTTAAAAATATAATCAAACTTGTTTTCCTAAATCACATTAATAAATTGTTTCAAATAGTCTCAAGTACTTGGATCTGATATACTACTGCACCAAGAAAAAAGAAGGATAGAGTTCCCTAATAGTAGTTTTGTAACCAAAAATTGTTGTTTGAAAGCTTTATGTTTGGACTTTAGGTTATTAAGAATATTTGCTTACTTTTCGGGGTAAGTTTTGTGAAGAATTTTTACACCATTATGGTATCTGCCTTTTTTTTTTTTTTATATTACTAGTTTCAATCATATTTTATAGTTATTTTTATAGTAGTTTTCTATCTAGTTTATAGAAATAATTTATGATGATTTAATTCAAGATGGTTTACATTAAAGCTTACATTTTTATAGGCTAATAAATATAAGATGTTTAGGTTATCAATCAGCAGAAATGAACCACAAGATAACAAAATAGTAATAAGCTAAAAGATAAGGATAAGCTGTTAAATCATCATATCATATTATCATAGGTTGTAATGTTAAATAATATGCAAATTCCTTACCCCCCTACCCCCCCCCCCCCCCCTACAGATTCTAACAGGAAAATGGAAGTCAATCTATCAATATAAATATAAAAGACAAAGAGCATAGCATAAAGAGGTATCAAGAACTACAGTTTACCTTAGCAATGCCTTCTGATTTCTTTCCACTTTCATTGTTTGCTAACTTCTGGTTCCAGGAGTTGTTTAGTTTCTATTTGTAGCTTATTTCTGTAAAAGCTTCTTTAGCTTTGGTTTTTCCTTTTTGGTGAAAGCAAATTATTTCACAAGCTAAGTTCAGGTTTTTGACCTATATTTGTGATAAGAGAAAATGATGCATGGCGTATTTCTCTAGGGCTTTTCCCTTTCATGCATATGGCAAATTTTGGTACTTGGGCTCCTTTAAGAAGCGGAGCCACATTGTTGGTTGCGGGTTCTGCTGAATCCAATAGCTTTTGTTCAAACCTTTCGTTTGTATTAAGAAATCCTATGAATATGTATAAATTATTTATTTAGAATCAAGTCACTTAAAATGATTATAATCCCGAATTCATAAGGTTCAAATCCTAGCTCCGCCTCCTTTTATATAGTATGTGCATTAACCAATAAATAAATAATAACTAAGAGAAAAGTGAATTTGAATTAATATAAGAAAATGAAGAAATGTCTTCTTTCCATCATTGATAAGGACTTGAAATCATGCCCCTTTTTGTCAATTCAATTCCCACTATATATGATTCCTTCTTGTTTGAGTTTGTTATTCATTTCAAAGTAATAGTTTTTACATTGAAAAGTAATTAATTTGACAATAAAATTAAGGGAAAGTAAGAATTACTCTCTCCGTCTTAAATTATCCGTTGTGTTTCTATTCTACACCCCCCTTAAGAAAATATTAAGTAGGAAATTTTTTTGACTATTTTATCCTTATTTATGTCTTAATTAAGATATAATATCTCTTTATTTAATACTTACAATTAAGGTATTTGTAGTCTTTAAGAACAATTAGTATTAGGGATAGAATAGGAAAAAAATAATTAATTTACTCTTGAACTTCTAAAATGACAAATAATTTGAGATAATTATTTTTATAAATCACGACAGATAATTTGAGACGGAGGGAGCATGAAGGTAGAGCTGCATATATGACCCTTCCATAACTCCATATAATTTTGAAAACATAATAATTTATTGATTTATTCAATAAATACTCATCAACGTTACGTAGAAAAATATAGTAATATGTAACTACGCTTTTGTCTCAAACAAACTAGTGGGGCCAATTCAATGAATTCTCATTATCCACAAAGTTCCATTTAATCCCTCTCAACCGAAAATTAACATTACGTAGAACAACAACAACGACAACAAGAAGCCAGTATTTTCCTACAAGTGAGGTTTGGGGAGGGTGAGTATGTTCTTCAATATTGTCATTACGCAGCCTTACCCTTACCCTAAAAGGACAGAGGGGCTGTTTCCGATAGACCGTTGGCAGGAGAACGAATGACAAAAGTAATGGCAACAAGAAGGAATAACAGCAAGATAACAATACTGAAGCCACGAAAGCACTTAAACTCAAGGTAATTATAGCAATCTATAAATAAAAGAATATCATACTAACACTAATGCTAGCGAACCGAGAAAGATAAAAGATACACTCGACTACCTACTAGCCTTCTACCCTAATCCTCGACCTCCACACTCTCCTATCTAGGACCATGTCCTCAGTCAACTCCAGCTGCGCCATGTCCCACCTAATAACCTCGCTCCAAGACTTCTTAGGCCTACCTCTACGCCTCCTGATACCCACTGAGGCTACATCTCGCACCTTCTGACTGGGGCTTCTATACTTCTCCTCTTAACATGTCTGAACCATCTCAAACTTGCCTCCCGCATCTTTTCCTCCACATAAGCCACTCCCACCTTATCCGGAATAACTTCATTCCTAATCTTATCCAACCTAGTATGCCCATACATCCACCTTAACATCCTCGTCTCAACTACTTTTATCTTCTAGATATTAGTTATTAGTTTTGCAGATAAAGAACATACTACTAGTAGGTGGATTTGCTATACCCTTTTAATAAATAAATAAAATGTCTTGTATTTGTGATGGATTCAATAAACTCCTAACAATTATTTACTACTTCCTCTGTTCCAATTTATGTGAACCTGTTTGACTGGGCACGAAGTTTAAGAAAAAATGAAGACTTTTGGAATTTGTGGTCCTAAACAAGTCAAAATGGGGCCCAGAGTATTTGTGTGGTTGTAAAAGCTTCTCATTAAGGATAGAATTGGAAGTTTAAGCTAAATTATTTCTAAATTTAGAAAGGGGTCATTCTTTTTGGAACGGGCCAAAAAGGAAATAGGTTCACATAAACTGGAACGGATGGAGTATTAAATTAGAGTATGTTCGCTCGAAAAAATCCCGAGTTGGGATATGGTGGGTTTTTTTCTTTTGATGTGTGTGGCCCTTCAAGAAGTACCATGTCCAAAAGATGAAAGTAGCTGAAATGAGGATGTTGAGATGGATATGGGGGCATACCAGGAAAGACAAGATTAGGAATGAAGTTATTAGGGACAAGGTGGGAGTGGCATCTGTGGAAGACAAGTTGCGGGAATCGAGGCTGCGATGGTTTGGGTATGTGAAGAGAAGAGACATAGATGCCCCGGTCAGGAGGTGTGAGAGGTTGACCATGGCGGGCTTGGGGAAGGCAGGGGTAGGCCAAAGAAGTACTGGGGAGAGGTGATTAGGCAGGACATGTCATTGCTGCACCTAACCGAGGACATGACTAGCGATAGGAAGGTGTGGCGGTCGAGAATTAAGGTGCTGGGTTGACAGGTAGTTGTGAGTTTACTAGTAGCACTAGTACTATTCTTGTATTCTTTTATTCTTAGTTCTTTATTACTTTGTTTCGTCACTCGCTTCCATTACTTATTATATTACTGTTGTGATTACTGTTCTAGTATTCTTTATTCTTAGTTCTTTATTACTTTGTTATGTCACTCGCTTCCATTACTTATATATTACTGTTGTTACTGCTTGTTGCTTTATTCTTACCGTTTCTTTAGCCGAGGGTCTATTGGAATAGCCTCTCTGCCTTTATAGGATAGGGGTAAGGCTGCATACACACTACCCTCCCCACACCTCATGTATGAGATTAAACTGGGTTTTTTGTTGTTGTTGTTGTTGTTTCTTTTGATGTGTATGTATCAATTTGTTTTATTTTGTAGTAGATTTTAACTATTAGTTATCTGCTAAAAATGTTTAATATATACAGCATAAAGGCAACAATAGAACGGTACAAGAAGGCAACTGCAGAAACCTCTAGTGCATACACTACTCAAGAGCTCAATGCACAGGTAATTATAAAAATATGTCATAATTGCCTTTTACACCATTTAATTCCTAGAAGAAACTAGACTATTGACTATCTCCTTAAATTAGTATTATGTAACATTAAAAGAAATAGGATCTTGTCGTGACTAAAGTCGCCATGGAAACCAAAAAGTCGTACACAAAAACTTTTTCTATTAGAGTAATTATGAGTTTGTTGTAGTCGGTTTTAAAGGGAGAACCTTGCTGCATGACAGTAGTATCAGAGTTTTTTGTAGTTCTAGCAGAAATGCAAGTCAATCCATCTCATCCATGCTTATGCCCTTTTAGAAATAGAGGCGAGCAAAAGAGCTCGTTTTTCCATTTTGAAATCTTTTGAAAAACTGAATTCCTATTAATTTCTCTCTATTTCTTCTTCAATAACCAGAGCTTTGTGGTGATTCACCGAAAATATCCCGTGAAAACTTATTCATGGTGATATTCGGGATCACCACAAAAACTTATTTTTCTGGGGACTCCGTGTTGGAAAAAAAAATAATTTGGGAGAGCAAGACAACAAAACACTCAAACACTCACAACTCACTTTAAGAATGGAGAAGAAATGATATTTTTCATTCAACTTGACTTGTTCCAAATGGCTAGCATACATGGGTATTTATAGTAGAACTCCTACATGTATCTAGCCTAAACTTCATGTAAACACACTAACTAAATTCATATTAGTCTACACTAGTTCATACATCTAATAATGAAGTTCACATTAGTCTACACTTGTTCATACATCTCATACTAATATGAACTAATCTAAACATATTTAATATAAATGTGAACTAATGGAAACAAGTTTATTATAATTTTAACATCCCCCCTTAAACTTGTTTCATCACTCCAAGCGCCATCCTTAGCTTTTGAAAAACTTCAATCTTTAATGGCTTGGTGAAAATATCCGCAATTTGATCTTGCGACTTCACATGCTCAAGCTCCACAACTTTATTAGATATACAATCTCTAATAAAGTGATACCTTGTATCTATATGCTTGCTCCTTTCATGAAATACAGGATTTTTGGCTAACTTGATAGCCGACTTGTTGTCAACAAAAATCTTTGTGGCATCCTTTTGTGGTTGGTGAAGTTCCTCCAACAAACTTCTTAACCAAATTGCATGACAAACACATGAGCAAGCTGCGACATACTCTGCCTCACAAGTTGACAAAGTAACAATTGGTTGTTTTTTAGAATTCCATGTAAATGCAGAATTTCCAAGAAAGAAAACAAACCCAGTAGTACTTTTACGATCATCAATATCACCAGCCCAATCACTATCGCAATATCCCACAAACTTAGAATCCTTAGAAGATGAATAAAGAATTCCATAATCAAGTGTATCTTTGATGTACCGAAGTATTCTTTTTGCTACCTTTAAATGGGAGGTAGTAGGAGCTTCCATAAAGCGGCTCACAAGTCCAACACCATAAAGAATATCCGGCCTTGTGCATGTCAAGTACCTTAAGCTTCCAACAAGACTCTTGAAAAATGTGGGATTTACATTTCTCCATCTCCATGCTTGGATATTTTAACTCCACATTCAACGGGGGTGCTCACGGGATTGCAATTATCCATCTCGAACTTCTTGAGAATTTCCTTTGCATATTCTCCTTGAGAAATAAAAATCCCATCCTTCCTTTGTTGCACTTGAATGCCAAGATAGTAGGACATTAATCCAATGTCCGTCATCTCAAATTCTCTAGCCATTGCTTCCTTGAATTCTTCAAACATCTTAGGATTATTTCCTATAAAAATCAAGTCATCTACATACAAGCAAACAAGTAAAATGTCTCCATTTCTAGCAATTTTTACATAAAGTGCATGTTCATGTGGACATTTTGAAAAACCATTTGCTTGAAAATATTTATCAATTCTACTATTCCAAGCCCGCGGAGCTTGCTTCAACCCATATAAAGCCTTTTTCAATTTCAAGACTTTATTTTCTTGTCCTTCAACCTTATAGCCCAAAGGTTGATCAATGTAGACTTCTTCCTCCAATACGCCATTCAAAAAAGCTGACTTCACATCCATTTGATGGATTTTCCATTGATTTTGGGCGGCCAAGGCAATGACAAAGCGAATTGTTTCCAAACGAGCAACCGGTGCAAATACCTCTTCATAGTCAATACCGGCTTTTTGCTTGTATCCTTTAGCTACTAATCTTGCTTTGTACTTTTCTACTTCACCCTTGGAATTCTTCTTTAGCTTGTACACCCATTTGACTCCAATGGTGCTTTTTCCTTTTGGAAGTGTGACCAACTCCCATGTTTCATTCTTTTTTATTGCCTTGATTTCTTCATCCATGGCATCTCTCCATTTGGAATTTTTGGAATGCATCCTCAAAGCTTATAGGCTCACTATCCACCAATAAACAAAAATGAGTAAAATCATATAAATCATTTCTTACCACTTCCGTGTTTTCATACAAGTCACGGAGACTTCTACTCTTGTGAGGTGCTTCACTTGAACTTGAACTTGATTCCTCCACTTCTTGATTTTGTGGCGGAGGTGTTGATAGTGGTGAGATAGGTTGCTCCACATCTTCTTCATCATCATCAAATAATGGACTAAAAGAGTAATCTTGCTCTTTAGTCTTCCAATCCCAAGCACTATCTTCATCAAACTCAACATCTCTACTCAAAGTGACCTTGCCATTTTTGGGATTATACAATTTATAACCTTTAGAATTTTGATCATAACCAATAAAAACATACCTCTCACTTTTGTCATCGAGCTTGGTCCTCTTTTCATCATGTATATGTGCATATGCAATGCTTCCGAAAACTCGCAAGTGAGAAACTTTTGGCTTGAAACCACTCCATGCCTCTTGAGGTGTTTTTCCATGAACACGTTTTGTGTGGCAACGATTTAGTAAGTATACCGCACAAGCAACAGCTTCAGCCCAAAATTCCTTTGGCATATTTTTGCTCTTCAACATACTCCTCACCATGTTAAGAATGGTCCGGTTCTTTCTTTCCACAACGCCATTTTGTTGTGGTGATCTTGGCACGGTTAAAAAATGGCGAACTCCATTTTTCTCACAAAAAACTTTGAATTCATTTGAAGTGAATTCTCCACCATTGTCCGACCGAAGTGACTTAATTTGATAGCCACTTTGTTTCTCCACCATCCTCTTGAATTTTTTAAAGGTTTCAAACACCTCTGATTTTGCCTTTAAAAAATAAACCCAAGTTTTTGTAGAATAATCATCAATGAAAAGTAAAAAATAATTACTTTTACCAAGTGAAGATGGCTTGATAGGTCCGCAAACATCCATGTGAATTAACTCCAAAGGGCATCTTGCTCTTGTCAAAGACTCTTTAGGAAAGCTTTTTCTAGCTTGCTTTCCAAAGATACATCCTTCGCAAAATTGGTTGGGATGATTAATACTTGGCAATCCATTCACCATGTTTTCTTTATCCATCAACCTTAAGCTATCAAAATTCAAGTGACCAAATCTCATATGCCAAAGCCAAGAGGAGTCTTTGGCACATGAAAGTAAGCATCTTGGAGCATCATTTTGAAGATTTAAAATGAACATTTTATTATTAGCCATAGGAACTTTAGCTAATAATCTCCCTTTTTCATCTCTCATAAACAACTTTTTATCTTTCAAATGAATGTCATAATTTTCCTCCAAAAGTTGTCCCAAACTCAAAATGTTACTTTTCATCTCCGGCACATATAAAACATTAGAAATTAATTGATGACTTCCATCCTTCAAGCGAATTAAAATCGTACCTTTTCCTTTGATTTTAACACGTGAAGAATCTCCAAAAGTGATTGTGCCACGATTCAACTCTTCAAGTTCCACAAATAAATCCTTCTTTCCACAAATATGGCTACTTGCACCGGAATCAAGGTACCATCGGTGCTTCTCGGCACTTTCTTCTCCTTTGCATGCGAGAAGCAAGGTGGCATCTTCATCTTCATTTTTGCTCTCCACGAAATTATTTTTCTCTTCAAAGTTATCTTTACATTCCCAAGAAAAATGACCAAATTTATGACAAGTATAACATTCAATATTTGATTTGTCATACCTTCCTTGATTTTGCCTCCATCCTTTCCCTCTTCCACGACCTCTTCTTGAATTAAAGTCTTGGCCTTTATTTTCTCTACTTGAAGGTGGTTGACTACCTCCTCTTCCGCCTCTACCACGACCTCTTCCATTTCCACGGCCTCTTTGTTGCGAGCCACGCCTTTCATCTTTCTCTTTGAAAGAAAATTTTGCTTGCAACGCTTGTTCAACCGATTCTTCTTTCGGTTTCTTCAACTTCTCTTCATGTGCTTGCAAGGAACTCGAAAGCTCGTCTATGGTCATGGTGTCCAAGTCTTTGGACTCTTCAATGGCAACAACAATAAAATCAAATTTTGAAATTAAGGATCGTAGTATTTTTGCCACGACCCTATCGTCTTTCAACTCTTCACCATATCTTTTCATTTGATTGACAATAGCCAAAACTCTCGAAATATAATCCACAACATATTCATTTTCCTTCATATGCAATGATTCAAACTCTCCTCTTAAGGTTTGGAGGCGAACTTTTTTCACTTTGTCCAAACCTTTAAAAGAAGTTTGAAGAATATCCCATGCTTCCTTGGAGGTTGTTGCATTTGCAACCTTCTCGAACATCTTGTCATCCAAACCTTGATGGATGAGAGTGAGTGCCTTTTGATCCTTCTTCTTTGAGGCAACGACATCTTCTGCTTCATCAACACCGGACTCTACTGGTTCCCAAACATCATAGGCACCAAGCAAGGCCTTCATTCGAATACACCAATTTTCATAGTTCTCTTTTGTAAGCATAGGAACTTAGAATGGTGTTCCGTTAGAATTCGTCATCTTTTCTCCAAGTTTGTTGTCTTCAACCACACCGGCTCTGATACCAAATGTTGGAAAAAAAAATAATTTGGGAGAGCAAGACAACAAAACACTCAAACACTCACAACTCACTTTAAGAATGGACAAGAAATGATATTTTTCATTCAACTTGACTTGTTCCAAATGGCTAGCATACATGGGTATTTATAGCAGAACTCCTACATGTATCTAGCCTAAACTTCATGTAAACACACTAACTAAATTCACATTAGTCTACACTAGTTCATACATCTAATAATGAAGTTCACATTAGTCTACACTTGTTCATACATCTCATACTAATATGAACTAATCTAAACATATTTAATATAAATGTGAACTAATGGAAACAAGTTTATTATAATTTTAACACTCCGGTCCCCAAAAATCACAAAAATTACCCAAAAAGTGTTTAAGAGGTCAACTAACTAGTTTATGTCTGCTTTCATTTCTTTTTTCCTTTTTTTTGTGTGTGTCTTTTTTCCGCTTAATATGTTTTACTCCAGTTTTACCAACAAGAATCAAAGAAGCTGCGCCAACAGATACAATTGATGCAAAACACAAACAGGTGATTTCATGACTCAATAGCTTGAAGAAGATTTTGCAACTATTTCTATGATCTTCCAAATATATTATTTTCTATGCACATCACAAGAAGAAAATAAATATTGTCAAACAGTGTCTTTACTAAGAATAATTTTAATATAAAAACATTTTTTCAAGTCCAGGCATTTGGTAGGGGAAGGAGTAAGCTCTTTGAATGTGAGGGAACTGAAGCAGTTGGAGAACAGACTTGAACGTGGCCTTACAAGAATTAGGTCAAAAAAGGTATAATGGCTTGTCAAATTATTTGCTCTAAATTCTGTGTCTCCTTTTTTAAAAAAAATATTATTATTTTAGGTCTTTCAACTTTCAAGATTAATGTATACACTTATTAGGGGAAATACTCCTCCCTTATATTTGTAGCAGGCAGAGGCGGATTCAAGATTTGATGTTTATGGGTTCCTGCAACGACTTTGAGTAAATTTTCAATAGTAACGGGTTCATATTTTAATATTTATACATATTTAATGAATTTTTAGAACATATTTACACTGTTTGGACAAAAGCTACTGGGTTTACGGGAACCCGTAGATGACAGGCTAGCCCCTGGTAGCAGGTGACAATCAAATAAATTATAACTAAGCCTTTTTTGTTAAGTAAATGGAAAGAAAATATAAGAGCTCAAAAGTAAGATACTTCCACTCTCAGTCTTAGACCTGCCAAGTACATATAACTTAACCAAGTAAGGATTAAATATATAAGAATAAATTATCTAGTATTTTTTGTCTCTATCGATTGAATTCTGATCTCCCATTGTATTCATTCACTTCGACCATTATGTCACACCCTGGTGCTTCTTACTTTGAATTTTATCTTATGTTTTTGTTTACCCTAAAATTCGAGTAACATCTGATTTAATTCAATGTCAATTGATATACAAAGAATTAAATAAATAAATTAAAGAATAAAATAGATCAAATCACTGTGTAAGCTAAATCTCGACCTCGAACTGTGATAATCTCGAGGTATGATAATGGGAATAACAAATGATAAAATAATTCTGATGAATAGTAAGTGAAATAGCAAGAGAATAACAAGCATATATTTTCTTATCAATGAGCAATGATCAATGTGTTACAAATGGATGGGATCCCCCCTTTATATATATATAATAGATGAGTCCTAAATAAGGTATACTTCCAATTATAGTAGGAAATCATATTTGACAACTTTTTAACCGCTGAAGACCAATCCATTCCGAAATTTACGCCATGATCTCCGGCCCGTTGCGGGTATCTCGCTCTTTCCGTTACTGACTCATGCCGGCATCACCTCGAAGCATGCCTTCTTCTGACCCCGGTAAGTGTTATCGACCATGACCTTGGATAGGAACTTCGACCCCGAGCTCGACATCCTGGTTTTCCGACGTGGTATCACTTTTTCCATCAAAGACCGAAATCGGGTAGCCCCGATTTCCACTGTATACAGTTTTCTTATAAGCGTTCATATCAAATAATTTTCTCTGATTATAGAGTAGAAAATTCAGTGATCTCATCCATATTACTTGTATTTCTTGACAGCATGAAATGATACTAGCTGAGACTGAGAATTTGCAGAAGAGGGTAATTTCCTTAAAACTTGTTTGTTTTTCTCTAGTAGACTCTTAATGTTTCTGATTATGGTTTAATTGATAAATATTCACTCATTTGCATCCTTGGACAACATGCTCTTCGTATAGGAAATTCAACTGGAACAAGAGAATGCATTTCTTAGATCAAAGGTACGTACCCCCTTTCTTGGCTTATGGCTATATTCTTTTTTTTGGTGCTCTGGCGTAGACTGCCTACATTATACCCCTAGGATGTGATCCTTCTCCGAATCCTGCGTGAACGCAGAATTTTTTTTTTGGGGGTCTTTTAACGGAAGAAACAAGTCTTTCTCAAATTTCACTGGCCAAATCTATTTATTAGACCTAAGAATAACATAACCAAAAAAAAAGAAAAGAATTAACTCTTGTTTTCCTTCTTGCCATTCTAATTAATAATGTTGGTGTAACTTGCTATTCTAATTTATTTTACTTGCTACCCTAAAAATGTACCAGCACTAACACATCAGATCCAATCAAAACGCTGAAGTTAGGCGTGCTTGGACGGCGAGAATAGTACTAGGATGAGTAACCTCTTGGGAAGTCCTCGTGTTGCATCCCTCTTTTCCTTTGGGTTGCGGCCCTTTTCTAGATATTGCATGAACACGAGATGCTTTGTGCACTAGGCAGCGCTTTCTATTTAAAAAATGTAGTAGCACCTTTTAAATGCCACTCGAAATATTAATCCATATTGACCTTAAAAAAGAATGAGGCAGGCTCAAATAGAATTAATTCATAGACTGAATTTGGTATATATTTATTTGCAGATAGCAGAAAATGAGAGGTTGCAGGAACTAAGCATGATGCCAACAGGTGGGCAAGAGCAAGATTACAATGCATTTCAGCAATATTATGCAAGAAATATGCTTCAACTCAATATGATGGAAGGAATGCAGCATTCTAATTATGATCCATTATTGTCTGCTGACAAGAAGTCTCTCCACCTTCACTGAACCCAAAAGTATGTATTTCTCTTAAACACTTATGTATCTTCATAATTAGTATAAATTTCCGACTATAATAATAAGAAAAAAGGCAGCTCGGTGCACAAGTCATCTTGTGTTCATGCAGGGGCGGAAAAGGGCCGCACCGGAAATATATAAAGCTCAAATAAGTACTGATTTTACATGCATGAAAACTAACTAGGCAGTCTCCTAACTTTGAATATTGGATAACATATTTAATTGTACTATAAGGAAAATAAGAATTTAGACAAGAATTTGAATGGAAAATAATGCTGAAGTTGAAGAGTTTATTTGATATATAAAAGTGAAACCACATCTTTCTCACTATAATCATTTGGTTTCTGTTCATGCAGGTTAATCCATTTGGCTTTGGAGAAAGAAATTTGGTGTTTTGGAACATATAAATAATATTTGATCTTTGTGCTTTTGCTTTAGAACTTTGTATTTGGTGTTTTTGAATTCTTTGCTATTATTACGTGTCATTGATGGACGCGTCCCTTGTTAATTTCTAACGCTAATTTCTATTCCACAATTCCTTTACTTGTTTTTCTCTTCGATCTTCATAGTGTTCTTAGGGTTGGTTACATTCATAACTCGCGTGTTCCTTGATTAATCTTCGTGGGTCGATTGTTATCAATATTAGCACTTGTTTTCACCTTAAAAGATCCCTACTCATTGCCCTCATTTTCAGTTTATTTGTCATTTTAAGACGCTTTATAGCATATTTGGCCTAGCTTCTTTTTGGCCAAAATTGTTTTTTATGACCGAAGAGTTTTTTTCAAAGTTAAAATGTTTGGCCAAGTTTTTAAACGACAAAAAAAGAAGGTGATTTTGGGTAAAAGCATAAGCAGTTTTTGAGAAGGAGAAAAAAATAATTTCTCCCCAAAAGTACTTTTTGAAAAGCATTTTTAAGAAAATACAATTAGAAGCACATTTTAAAAGCTTAACCAAACATTAATTGTTGCTCAAAAGTACTATTCAAATTAATTAATAAAACACAAACTGATTCACACCAAAAATATTTTTTTAAAAATATACTTTTGAAAAAAATATTTTACAAAATAAGCTAATTTTAGAAGCTTGGTCAAGCAGGTTATGGAAGAAGATCCTAAGTAATCAAACTCCACATAGATGGTTAACCAGTGAATCTGACTGACCAGGTATTTGCATAAATAGCCCATTATTAAATTAGTCGGCCTGACATATAGACCATTTGGTTGCAATTAGAAGCCTCTACAAAATCATTTCTTTCGGTAAAATAGCAATAACTTTATGTCATACGAATAACCAGCCACCCAGTTTGTTTAAAAAAA